ATTTATCTGAGGAAGGAAAGGGATACAAATGGACATTCCAATGATCATCACCACCCTGGACACGCAGCAGCGCTTATCAGTCAAAGCGCTATTAGACACAGGATGCACTGGATCTTCGATTGATGCGCAGTTTGTCCGCGATAACAACATCACCACAAAGAAACTGCCATCACCGATCCCTGTCTATAATGCGGACGGCACGCATAATGCCGGCGGGGCAATCACCGACTTTGTTAAATTAAGGGTGGAAATCCAGGACCACATTGAGCGACTTCCGTTCGCCGTTACAAATCTGGGAAAGACCCCAATCCTCCTCAGATATGAATGGTTACAGATTCACAACCCATCTATCGATTGGCAGGAACAAGTCATTCAGTTTGATCAGTGCCCGATTACCTGCAAATATGCCGCCCGATTAATTGATATTGATGCTGATCAGGAGGAGCCCAGTGATCCGGAGGCTCACCTAGAAGAAGGGGATAGAATCTTTATTCTAGACCATGAAACATATTTTGCTACGGGAGCAGCACGTATTTGCACCACAGCCACGGACCTAGCAATCAAAGAAAGTCTGAAACACGAAGCCAAGACCTTTGAAAATACCATCCTGAGTCACTATCATGATTACTCCGACGTATTTAGCAAAGAAGACTTTGACTCTCTACCGCAAAGATGACCTTGGGACCACGCAATCGAACTCACACCAGGCGCGCAACCAATCAGTTGCAAGGTTTATCCTATTTCCGTAAACGAACAAAAAGAACTTGATGAGTTCATAGAAGAGAACCTCCGAACCGGGAGAATTTGACCATCAAAATCCCCATGGGCTTCTCCATTCTTCTTTGTCAAGAAAAAAGATGGACAACTTCGACCTGTACAAGATTATCGAAAGCTGAATGAGCTGACAATAAAAAACTGCTACCCACTTCCTTTAATACAAGAACTAGTGGACAAATTGAAGCAGGCGCGGTACTTTACGAAACTAGACATCCGATGAAGGTATAACAACATCCACATCAAAGAAGGAGACAAAGAGAAGGCAGTGTTCCTAATGAACCGAGGACTATTTGAGCCACTTGTTATGTTCTTTGGTCTTACCAATTCCCTGGCTACATTCCAAACCATGATGAACAATATATTCGGAGATCTCATCAGTCAAGGACACGTGGTAGTCTATCTAGATGACATCATGATCTTCACTCAAGATCTCAAAGAACACCGTCGGATCACGCGGCAGGTTCTTCAAATCTTAAGGGAACACAAACTTTATCTAAAACCGGAAAAGTGCGAGTTCGAGAAAGCAGAGATAGAATACCTCGGGATGATAGTAGGAAAAGGAGTTGTTCGCATGGACCCAGTCAAGATAGAAGGAGTTGTCAATTGGCCACGACCTGAGTGCAAACAAGATATTCAGGCATTCCTTGGATTTACCAACTTCTACCGAAGATTCATCCAAGATTATGGCAAAATAGTAAAACCACTCAGTTCCCTAACGGGCAATGCCACTTTCGAATGGACCGTCGAACAAGAAGTAGCCTTCACAAGCCTAAAAGACGCTCTATGCACGGCGCCAGTACTAGCCATACCCAATGACAATGACCCATATTGAGTAGAATGCGACGCCTCAGACTTTGCCGTAGGAGCAGAATTAGCCCAGAGACAAGATGGCAAGTGGAAGCCTGTTGCCTACCTGTCTAAAGCCATGACAGCTGCCGAAAGAAATTACAAGATTTACGATAAGGAACTTCTCGCAATCATGACTAGCCTTGATAAATGGCGTCAGTACCTCATGGGTGCCATACATCCGTTTGAAATATGGACGGATCACAAGAATCTAGAATACTTCCAGAAGCCGCAGAAGCTCAACTGACGACAGGCCCGATGGGTAACCGAGTTAGCTGAATATCAATACTCGTTGCATCACAAGTCTGGTAAATCTAATGGCAAAGCAAACGGACTATCTCGCCAAAAAAGGCACAATGCAGGAAAGGAAGACAATTCAGATATCATATTACTAAAACCAGAACATTTTCAAGCCCTGATTCGTAGTACCGTATTTAGTTTAGAAGGAATCGACCAGGACTGGGTCGCAGAAATTAAAAAATACAAAAAGAACCGAGATTTGTTAGTTACCGTAGCTTTACAGAACAAGGACAAAGACTGGAACGAAGATAGTACTGGACTTGTGACATGGAAGAACCGTATTTACGTACCGGTAAATAGAAAACTCCATGAGCAAATCATTGCTCATCACCATGACACCCCATTGGCTGGACACCCTGGTCAATACAAGACGCATGAAATGGTCATGCGTAACTACTGGTGGCCCTGAATTCGAGAAGATATCAGGAAATACGTGGCCAGATGTGAGAAATGCCAGAAGACCAAAGTTCATACGACACGACCTACCGGACTTCTATTCCCAAATGAAACTCCTTCACGACCCTGGGAAGTAATCTCCGTTGACAAGATAGGCGTATTGCCGGACTCCTTCAGATACAATGCTATCCTCGTAATCGTCTGTATGTACTCTAAGCAGATAATCGCAATACTAAGTACCATCGAGCTCAACGCCGAAGGATAGGCAAAGGCACTCTGAGATAATGTAGTCGCACATCATGGACTACCCCGAAAGATCATCAGTGATAGGGGAACTGAATTCAAAAATCAGTTCATCTCCGAGTTGTACCAATCTCTCAGAATCGAAGCCAATTCCTCAACCGCGTATCACCCCCAGACAGATGGACAGATGGAACGCATCAATCGCAAGATAGAACAGTATCTCTGATTATTCATCAACTACCGACAAGCAGACTGGGCTGAATGGTTGCCACTCACGGCCTTTTCATACAACAATAAAGTCCATTCGTCCACTGGGTACACCCCGTTCTTTGTCAATAAAGGGTATCACCCTTATGAAGGAACCCAACCAGTACGAGAAGGACTAAGTGAAAATGTCCAACAATTTGTCGATAGAATGGATCAAGTGCGTGAGGACACTAGCACGGCTATCAGTCTAGCACAGGAAACCATGAAACGCTTCTACGACAGAAAAAGGAAGAGCGGACCGGAGTACAAAGTAGGGGATAAAGTTTGGCTAGAAGGGATAAACATCCGAACAGACAGGCCAATGAAAAAGCTCGACGACAAGCGGTATGTACTCTTCAAGGTCAAACGCAAAGTCGGTGCTTCCGCCTATGAATTGGAACTCCCACGTCAATGGAAACAACACCCCGTTTTCAATGAAAGCCTCCTTAATCCCTTCAAAGAACCCGCATATCCTTCACAACGACAAGAACCAATAGTCCCTGACCTCGTAAATGGCGAGGAAGAATGGGAAGTCGAAGACATTCTTGACTCCTGTCGTGATCAAAACGGAAACCTGGAGTATCAGGTGCTCTGGAAGAACAGCCCCCACGGTGATCGCCGCTCCTGGGAATCACAGGCGAACTTGACCAATTGTCAAGAGCTCCTTCAGGAATTCCATACTAGATGCCCCAACAAACCCGCGCCCATGACAATTCGAATCCCTCCTCTATTGACACGACTGGTTCACATACTCACGCGTGAAACCACTCTTCTGGTACAACAAATGGGTGGTATTCTCCCAAAGCAAGGATCTGAAGAATCTGCTGGGTTTAATCTCTATTCGGCTGAAAGCATTAAAATACCGGCACAAGATTGCAAGATTATCGGCACCGGCATAGCGATGCGCGCCCTTCACGGAACCTATGCACGAATTGCGCCACGAAGTGGGCTGGCAGTCAAAGGGATAGATGTTGGCGCTGGAGTCGTAGACCGAGATTACACTGGAGAAGTACGCGTAGTATTAATCAACTCCACCAATCAATCCTTCCAGGTATGCGCCGGCGATCGGATCGCACAAGTCATTTTGGAACGCATTGCGTCATGCGATATCGAGGAGGTGTCCAGTTTAACAGAAACTCAATGAGGGTTGGGAGGATTTGGATCGACTGGTAAATAATCGTGAGGACACGATTCTAGACGGGGGGGTAATGTCATGAATATTACATATCCCGGATGGTTCTCCCGGGTTCCATAGTATTCTTTCACTTTCTATACACCTCCATATATTCGTAGGATATTCTAGATATTCAGTCTGGCATGTATAAAAGGAGCTCGTACTGCTCAATAACAAGCCAGACTCGAGCTGGTCTTTCCTCACTCACATTCCTCTTGTCTGTCTCCTCAGCGTTGTCGTAGCTCAGTCCAGTTGGATTGTTAGTTGCTGACAACTTGGTTCCAACCGCTGGAAGGTCGCCCGCCTGGCTCCCGACAGGTTTGCTGGTTGACGTTGAGGATGCGCACTATTTGAGTCAACGGAGTCGCAGCGATACCGTGCCAAGCGACTGCGTTGCTGTAATAGTGCCGAGGGGGTAGAGGTAGATTTTCTGCCACTATAGGTCCAAGTTGATAGCAAAATTTGATAAGACGGGGCGCGCTTACATGAGTCGGCCATCAGGCTGGCGCGCAACAGGTCCGGTACCGCCCGCGGCCCGCCTTTAGAACGGATCAAAACGCTTTCGCCTCGGCGTGTCGGCGTCCCGCGCGACCTGGCTTCCACCACGACAGCTACCAAAGGCGTGGACGACGACTTAATGCCACCCTATCATGGTATCATCATGTTCTAAAGCGGTTTGTTGGCAGAATGTGAAAGGTGAGTTCGATGAACCGGGAGAATGGACGACCGAGCTGACATCGCTGAAAGGATGTACCGTAGGTGTACAGATACCGTTGTCTTTATGCGGTTTGTTGGCTGCTTTATATACACGTGCGCTCAACACACCCACTACAGAACAGTACGGTACCAGACGGCGGTGAGAGCGACCTGTAAGTTTCGTCTATCGTCAATTATCCTCATTTACATATTTCAGCTCGTAGACACTTATAAGACTCACGTGGTGGCGATGTCTTTATACTCATTTGTGGGGACGTCTTCCGATCATCCAGGTTCGTCTTCCGATCATCCAGGTTCGTCTGCGCCGCAATAGTTCATTCCATGATACTCTCTGTTCAGGTACAAAGTACGCCTGCGATCCCCTTGATTTTTTTCTTCGCCAACCCGGGGCTATGCATATTGCAGTCCCTTAATGCTCGCATCGACCGAAACTCGTCGCATTCTAGAAGGACCAGAGGCAAGCGTCGCTATAATAATTCTATGCTATCTCAATCGCAACATATCCTGGATATTATGCAGAAGCGAAAGTCCGTCCGAGAAATGCACCATGAAATTTTGATTCCCGAGTAGAAATAGAGGCTCGTCATTGAAACCAGCGTCACGACTGAGCGCCTTAAACTTCGCAAGGAACGCTCCGGACTTTGCGTCGCGGACGTGGAGATCCCCCGGGATATCTTCCATGGCAACGCAGTCTCCATCTAGCGAGTATGACACATGATTCGATACTCTTGGGAGCTCGTAAACGCGACGTAGCTGGCCTGTCCATGAGTCGAAGGTGACAGCCGTTCCATCTGGGGCACAAGCTGCCAATACCTCGGAGCCGTCAGGGGAGAGTATCGCGGGATCCCAGAGCCCTTTCGGGTAGTCGATTGTGAGAAGTTCTTCGCCAGTCACCGCACTCCAGATCTTCACTTGACCATCCCGCGATGTGGTGACTATGCGGTCTCCTTGGCGAGATACTGACAGCTGGTGGTATCCTGGGGTAAGGGGCCCTAATTCAGCGATGCACGTGTAAGTTTGGGTCTCATAGATCCAACAGGTGCCGATTTGGTCAATGTAGAGGTGTGAGCTATTGGGGGAGAAGGCGACCTGACATAAGTCTCTCGCCAAACCGATGCGGTGCAAGCATGTTCCGGTCGAGGCATCCCAAATCTTCACAGAGTGGTCGTAATCAGAGCCGGTAGCGATGAGCGCGCCATGGGGGGCATACACGATTCTCTTCACCGTCCCACGATGTCCTTCTAGACGCAGAAGTGCGCGACCATGTCGTATATCCCAGATAACCACGGTCCCGTCCTCGGCCCCCGAGGCAAGAGAGCGATCGTCAGGAGAAAATGCAAGGGAGGAAATAGGTTTTGCATGGCCTTGATGATGTAGGCGCTGAACAAGAAGGCCATCAGGTATTCGCCATACGAGGACGTCACTGTTTCCGAATGATGCGGCTAAAATCTTGCCATCGGACGACAACGAGAAGCGTTTGCAGGATGCGGATGGATTGAGAGAGTCGGCGAAGGTGAGCTGTCTAAGTTTCAGTGGTCGAACATCCGCTTCCGTGGGGCCGATGAAGACGTGCCGATTGCCCGGGCGACCAGCGCTGTCCAAGGTGATGCCTGGCCATTCAGCCAAGTCGGTAGGTGTGATGGTGCGACGTGGGAAAGCGCGCTCCCGCTCATGAGAGATCACATCTTCTGCGCAGAGTAATCCGACTATGCCAACAACCGTCACTGTTAGATGTCGCTATTACTAGAAGATAAGATACTCACGTGTGCCGTCAACCTGCACTGGAGGCTGCACTCGACGAAGGTAGCTCGCAAAATCGACGACGTGATTGCCACCCTGGGAGGAAGTTAGTCTTCGTAGTTTGCCAGGTAATTTAGACGGCACGTACGATGATGGTCTCGACGTCGTCATCGCTCGCAATGACAGTCTCGGCGTTGGAAGTCTGTGGTCAAAGATGTATCGCTCAGTGGGGCAAATACCACTCGGCTTGAGCAGACTCACCTCCAGCATATAGTCCAAAAGGATGTCCAGCGGGTCAGGAACCTCACCCTGTAGATTCATTAGCTCGCGCACCTCACGTATATACCATAACGCAAGACGTACATCTCCCTTGAGTGACATGCTTGCGTCGAGGTCATCCTCCTCCAAGTCCTCCCCCTGCATTACGACTCCTTCCTCCCCCGATCCACCTTGCCCCCCGTCGCCCATATCCGGCAGCCGGTGATGGCCCGCGCCCGCAGTGAGCCTCTTCAGAATTCCTAGCCGCTTCTGCAACTTGTAACGCTTCACCATGACACACTGGTCTCTCGTTGGCTCCGCGGTACGGGGCCGAGACGCATCCGCCAAGTAGTGCTGACCCCGCCGTTGCATCCGTGGGCCCGTGACAGACCTCGATTTTGATCCGCTGACTTCCATCCCTGCGACGCCGCCGGCATGTCCCCCGACCGAGCCACTGGAGCTCATATCCGTGTTGCTGAAGGCGGTCGCCGCCCAGTCCGCCTCCGTCTTCACCCAGCCGCGGACCACAACGAGATTCTCTTGCTTGAGTCGATGGCCAAGAGTGTCGGTAGCGTATTCGTACCATGTGTCGTGGTTCCGAACAATGTACTTCTCTAGAGCCTGGTTCTCGAATAGCGTCTCGGCATAGGCCTCGCTCTTGAGCTCAAGAATCGCCCCCTGCACCGCCTTGCAGGTGTATTTTGCTGTTAGAGTTGCGGATGCGTTAGCACCGACCGTCCTGCAAGGTGTCAGCTCGACGGCAGTTCTTAAAAACGTCAGTGTTCTTACACATCGGCCGACGCTTGCGTCTGCTTGCTCTCCACCCCGTGGCTACAGTAGTGATCGGGGACGAGCGGCCTCTGCCTCCGATCAATCTTGAGCACGCCGCGAGGTAAGGATTCAGTGATCTCAAATGGCGGTTCCCAGAATTTGACCTCCTTTTGGGGCGCGGAGGTGTCGAGGTTGAACAGTCGTATAAACGCGCCTTCGTGAACGAACCCCACGTCGCCGATCTGCGGCTCTCCCGACTCGTGGGGTTCGGGATACCAGAGGGCATGTCCCAGGTGGAGTGTCTGAAGGCAGGAGGAATAGATCTCGTCTGGAGCAGACGACGAGCGAAACCAGCGAAACATGAGAGATAAGAAGGAAGATGCAGCGCGAGTTAGCAGAGTAGAGATGACAGTGCAGAACAGCCAGGGATAAGCATGCTTTGGGATCGATGGCGAGGACAATTCCAGCGCCATTGGCCTGATGTCTTCGCACGAGGAAGATGAATGATACGAAAGCTCAGATCTTGGGATAGCAAAGAGGCCGAAAGTTATTTCTCGACCGTTGGTTCAATCCTACCGTCGTATTTGAGCTTAAAAGGTGAGGTGCGCTGTAAATCAAAGATATTGAGACTGTTGCTAAAGTCCGGAAGATCGACAGTTTTGAATCGGCAACGTACACGATTCCAGAGTTAAGCCGTCGATCGCACAGGATCTCAACTGCGAGCATTAATGCAGAGCTCGAGAGTTTTCCGTATGCTTAAAGACTGATATCTTCAGTGACACCACTATGCTAGTGCCATGGCAGTCTCTTGGTGACCTGGCACAGCTCGGCTTGGCGAAGAACTCCTTAGATTCGCTTGTATACTATGACACCACCGCGTACGTCATTAGACGCAGCGGTCCACCTTCGAGTCTTATAAGGGCAGCTTTCTACGTCGATAGCGCCGTTGAAGACTCCGATGAGTTCGGCCTCAAGCCTCTTGGTGTTTTCAAGGGCGAGACCTGCTTCTCAGGTCCAACGTGGTAACACTTGGACGTGTAAAAGCCTGAAGCCAGCCTCGCTCGTTTAATACGACACTCGTAGATGCAACTGTAGTAGGGGGCACGGTTTGAAATTGAAACCGTCACGATTGGAGAGACTCACATGTCATTGACGTCCTGAAAGCGTGATGATGGGCCATCGTGGAATCAACCGCCCAGTTATTGCTCCAGGGCTAAATATGAATCTTGATTTTTTGTTATATTTCGGACATGATCATGCTATTTCAACATTTGAGGCAAGAGGTGTGACGTCTGTTAGATGACAACACTACGTCAATAGATGCAAATCGAATCTATTGTCCAAGTGTAATGTACGGCATGTTAACAAACGCTCCCTAAAGAATCATATCAGTAATCCTTCCAGCGCGATGCAGCATGGTACTCACATCACCGCCAACCCGAATGAACATCCTTCAGATCCGGTATCTTCTAAACCACCCCTGATTCCGTCTCCGCCTAGAGCATTTCGTCTATCGCTTCTGCTCCAGCCGCTCGCGATTGTCCCTGCTGCCACTGGAGTCTGTGTCGTCTCAGGAAGACGTGTCAGTTCATTATTGACCATACCAGGAACTGGCCACGTAAATGGTGCAACTTGGACCCTGTGCCACCACAAGTCTCAGCCTGCATAAGCACTTCATAAGAGAGTCCAGCCGCGGATGTTCAAACGTTCATGGCTGAATTGCTGACGAGGATGGGATTCTCGAGCCCGACGCCAAGGCTTAACGGGACCGTCGTAGGCAGGTGCTGTTCCGCGAGGCAGAGGCATGCTGGCGGACATAGGGAGGGGAATTTTGTCCTAGCAGTCGTAATTGGTCGTCAGAGAGACACTTGCTTGACTTTCGAAAAGCCTGCCGCTTCGAGGCTGCGCATCGAGAACCCGTGCCAGAAGACGCATGCTGTTGTATGGCCCCTCAGACCTCAGGAATGCAGCTTAGGCCAAGGCCATGTCCAACTCAGCGGGCACGTCAGCCGAAAGGATGCACATTCGCAGCAATCCGGGGTAACTCGGTGAAGACGAGCAAATACTACTCGTTCGTGACCATAGGCGAAGACGAGAGTGTGACGTGACGAGGCAGGGCGTAACTTCAGAGAGTGGCCCGGGGATATGTGAATTATTGCACGAAGTAAAGCCAAGAGGAGCAATACGCATGTCGCGCAACGTTAACGACCAAGTAGAAAAAGACGACAAAGAAAAGCATAGGAGTAGCTTACACGTGGCACAGATCAAAACGCTCCCGAGCTGACGTAAATACGCCGAGGCAAGCGCCGCCATCAAATTTCGCGCTACCTCAGCCGCAATACGTCCTGAATATTATGCAGAAGCGAAAGTCCGTCCGAGAAATTCACCACGAGATTTTGGTCTGAGAGTATAAATCGAGGTCCATCCTCGCGGTGATGCTCGTGGCTGAGCCCGTCGAACTTCGCCAGGAACACTCCGGACTTCGCGTCGTGCACGTAGAGGACCCCCGCGCCATCTCCAAAAGCAACGTAGTCTCCGTGTGGAGAGTATGACGCATGATACGATGCTCTCGAGAGCGGGTAGACGCGACGTAGCTGACCTGTCCATGAGTCGAAGACGGCGGCCGTCTTGTCCTTATCACAAGCCGCCACCACTTCGGAGCCGTCTGGAGAGAGCATCGCAGGGTACGAGAGCTTTCGCGGGTGGTCGATTGTGAGAAGCTGTTCGCCAGTCTCCGCACTCCAAATCTTCACTTGATCTTTCAACGATGCGGTGACTATGCGGTCACCTTGGCGAGACACTGACGACTCGCAGTATTTTTCGTCGCGGTGCCGTAATTCAGCAATGTACGTGTAAGTTTGGGTCTCGTAAATTGAACAGCAGTTATTGCCGTCAATGTAGACGTGTGAACCATTTGGGGAGAAGGCGACCTGGTGTGGGCGCCCCTTGATGTCAAAGGAGTGTAGACATGCTCCGGTTGTAGCATCCCAAATCTTCACGGATTCGTCGGAATCAGAAGCCGTCGCAATGAACGCGCCATAAGGAGCATAAGCGACTCTCCCCACCGTCCCGCAATGTCCCTCTAGACGTAGAAGTGCGCGACCATGGCGAATATCCCAGACAATCGCGGTCGTATCCTCGGACCCCGAGACAAGGGAATGATTGTCGGGAGAAAACGCAAGGGAGTAAACAGGTTCCGTATGGCCCTGATGATGCAGGCGTTGAACGAGTAGGCCATCGGATAGTCGCCATACGAGGACATCACCACTTGCGAACGAGGCGGCCAGAAGCTTGCCATCGGCCGACAGCGAGAAGCGTTTGCATAATGCGGATGGGTCTCGGGAGTCGACAAAAATGAGTCGTCTCAAGTTCATTCGTCGAACCTCTGCTTCCGTGGGGCCAATAAAGACATGCCGATCGTTCGTGCGGCCAGCGCCGTCCAAGGCAATTCCAGGCCATTCGGCCAAGTCGGGAAGTATGATCGTGCGGCGTGCAAAAACGCGCTCTTGCTCACGACAAATCATGTCTTCTAGGTAGAGCAGTCCGACTATGCAAATAATCGTCGCTATTAGGCCTCGTTATTGCCAGGAGATAGGATACTCACGGGTACCATCGACCCGCACTGGAGGCTGCGCTCGACGAAGGTGGCTCGCAAAATCGACTACGTGATTGCCACCCTGGCCGAAGATCAGTCTGCGTAGTTTACCAAAATATCCATGCGGTACGCACGACGATGCTCTCGACGTCGTCATCGCTCGCAATGACAGTCTCGGCATTGGTAGTCTGTGGTCAAAGACGAATCGGTGAGCACGATGAATAACACTCGTTTTGAGCAGATTCACCTCCAGCATGTAGTCCAGAAGGACGTCCAGCGGGTCAGAAATCTCGCCCTGGTGGCCTTTCAGTACCCTTACTTCGCGGACACATTCAAACGCACAACGTACCTCGCCGTTGAAATCCGGCATACTTGCGTCGACGGGATCCTCCTCCTGTGCTACTACTCCGCTCTCTCTCAAATCATCTCGCCCGCCGCTATCATCCGGAAGTCGGTGGTGGCTCGCGCCCGCAGCGACCCTCTTGAGAGTTCCTAGTCGCTTTCGCAGCTTGTAACGCTTCACCGAGACGCACTGATCCCTCGTCGGCTCTGCAGGATGGGGGCGAGACGCGTCCGCCAAGTAGTTTTGTCCTTGTCGTTGTATCGGTGGATCCGTCACGGCCCTCGGGTGCAGCCCGTTGGCTTTGGCCCCCGCGACGCCGCCGGCATGTCCCCCGACAGAGGCACTGGGTTTGATATCCGTGTTGTTGAAAGTGGTTGTCGCCCAGTCCACCTCCGTCTTGACCCAGCCACGGATCACAACAAGGTCCTCTCGCTTCAGTCGGTGACCGAGGGTATCCGTAGCGTATGTGTACCATGCGTCGTGATTCCTGAAGATGTAATTCTCTAGAGCCTGGTTCTCAAACAGAGTCTCGGCGTGAGCCTCGCTCTTGAGCTCGAGAATCGCCCCTTGCGTCGCCTTGCAGGTGTGTTTTCCCGCTAGGGTTGCGGATGCGTGGGCGCCGGCCGTCCTGCAAGCTATCAGCTCAACATCAGATCTTAAATGCATCTGTATACTTACACATCGGCCGAAGATTGCATCTGCGTGCTCTCCACTCCATGGCTGCAGTAGTGGCCAGGGACGAGCGGTCTCTGTCTCCGGTCGATCTTGAGCATGCCGCGAGGCAAGGGCTCAGTGATGTCAAATGGCGGGTCCCAGAACGTAACCTTCTTCTCGGACGCAGAGGTGTCGAGGTTGAAAAGTCGTATAAACGCGCCTTCGTGGACGCACCCCACGTCGCCGACCTGCGGTTCACCCGACTCGTGCGGTTCGGGATGCCAGAGGGCATGGCCCAGACAAAGCGTCTGGAGGCAAGAGGAATACATTTTTTCCGGAGTGGACAGTGGACGAAACCAGCGAAACATTATAGACAAGAGGAAGGTTTTTCCACGGATCGATAATCGGCAAGTAGGAAAAGGCTACGACTGCACGTGACACGGATCAAAATTGCTGTCCTGGCGCTCCGCGTCCCAAGTCGGAAGATGGGAACGACTCCCAGATTGCTTTATTGTGCAGTTGTCGTTACTGCCTATATATGCTGGTTCAAAGGATTGGTTGACATTGGCAGGAGGTGAAAAGTAATTTCGACGATTCAGGAAAGTGGTCGATTGAGCTGACATCGTCGGAAACTCAGCCGTGGCCAAGACCATGCTCAACTCCGGTGGCTCAAGCGGCGCTTTATCTAGATGGACGCGTCACTAGAGCCATGTCGGGTGACACTATGAGCGAAGTAGTGCCTGAGAAGCGGATGTTGCCCGTTCGTTGCCATACGTCTAGACGGGAGTGGAACGAGGCAGGGCGCGACATCGAGAGAGAGTCGTCCGAAAGTCTTTCATGAACGGATACTCAGATAAGTGACAAAGAGTAATTTATGTCGCGCAACGAACAAGCAGGAAAAGACAAGTTAGACAACAAGGAAGAGCACGAGTGTCAAAGTCCAAGTCGCGGGTGGCAGGGGTTTGTTATCGCATGTGATAGGTCATTCACGTGACACGGATCAAAATACTTCGCGCCCGAGAGTATATCCAACGTCCAACGTTCAACGTTTCAACAGCTATCTGCAGCCCATAACTTTGACGCTGCCACTGTCTGAGATTTTGTGTTGACTTGACAAGCTGTCTGTTGCCTATGTTAAATTCTTGACTCTGGTTGAGGTCTTTATGTTTCTATGGGAAGCCATCAGGCTGATGACGCTGGAACGAGAGTTCACAGCGCGCGTATCTAGCTCGTTGGGCACTACTGCCACCTTTATCCTCCTTGCTTGCTCTACCTATCCTCTATGTTTCGCTGGTTTCGTCCGCTGTCCGCTCCAGACGAGATCTACGCTTCGAGCCTCCAGACGCTTCACCTCGGCCATGCCCTCTGGTACCCCGAGCCGCACGAGTCGGGAGAGCCGCAGATCGGCGACGTGGGGTTCATCCACGAAGGCGCGTTCATCAGGCTGTTCAACCTCGACCTCTCCGCTCCCGAGAAGAAGGTCACGTTCTGGGAGCCGCCGTACAAGATCACAGAGCCCCTGCCTCCGGGAGTACTCAAGATCGATCGCAGGCATCGACCACTCATCCCCGACCATTATTGTAGTCATGGAATAGAGAGCAAGGAGTTACATGCTTCGGCAAACGTGTGAGTATACCAGCTCGTCCGAGAAATTACTCTATGCCGACAGTCTGAACTACGCAGAACGGCCGGTGCCAACATATCAGCAGCCCTTACTGCCAAATACACGTGCAAAGCGGCTCAGGGCGCGATCCTTGCGCTTAAAAGCGAAGCCCACGCCGAGACAGTGTTCGAAAACGGAGTCCTGGAGAACTACATCGCCCGGCATCACGACGGATGGTACGTGTATGCGAGGGACGTCCTCAGCCATCGATTCAAACAGGAACATCTCGTCGTTGTCCGCGGCTGGGTCAAAACAGAGGCGGACTGGGCCGTGGCTGCCTTCAGCAACGCCAGCACAGGTATCAGCGCTTCGGTCGAAGGCAACGCTGGCGGCGTTGCGGGGGTCGGAGTCGGCGGGTCGCACTCGAGGTCTGTAACGGGTCCACGAGTGCAACGGCAGGGTCGGGACTACTTGGCGGACGCGTCTCGCCCCCGTCCTGCGGAGCCTATCAGGGACCAGTGCGTCTCAGTGAAGTGTTACAAGCTGCAAAAGCGGCTAGGGTTCCTCAAGAAGATCATTGCGAGCGCGGACTACCACCGGCTTCCGGATGTGGGAGACGGGCGAGGCGGATCGGGAGGAGAAGGAATCTTGGCACAGATGGAGGAGGATCTCGACGTGGGCGTGCCGGAGCTCAAGGGCGAGGTGCGTCTCGCATCATGGTGTATCTGCGAGGTGCGCGAGCTGACGACCTGCCAGGGCGAGATTCCTGACCCTCTGGACATCCTTCTGGACTACATGCTCGAGGTAAGTCTGCTCAATCCGAGCGATGTTTTCGGCGCTAACTGATGAGCCTTCGACCACAGACTACCAACGCCGAGACTGTCATTGCGAGCGATGACGACGTCGAGAGCATCGTCGTACGTACCATGCGAATTACCTCATAAAATACGGAGGTTAATTTCCGGCCAGGGTGGCAATCGTGTGGTCGACTTCGCGAACTACCTTCGTCAAATGCAGCCTCCAGTGCAGATCGACGGCACACGTGAGTATCCTATCTCCTAGTGGCAGCGATGCCTGAGAGTGACGATCATCGCATAGTTGGGCTGATCTGCACAGAAGACGTGATCTGTCATGAACGAGCGCGCACTCTCGCACGTTCCACCATCACACCTACCGACTTGGTTAAATGGCCAGGTATCACCTTGGACGGCGCTGGCCTCCCGGGCGCTCGGCGCGTCTTCATCGGCCCTACGGAAACGGAGGCTCGATCACTGAAGCTGAGACAACTCGTCTTCGCCGACTCTCTAAATCCATCAGCATCTTGCACACGCTTTTCGCTGTCGACAGATGGCAAGCTTCTGGCCGCATGTTTTGGAAGCAGCGATATCCTCGTATGGCGACTACCCGATGGCCTACCCGTTCAGCGCTTACATCCTCACGGCCATGCGAAAGATGTACTTTCCCTTGCGTTTTCTCCCGACAATCGTTCCCTTGTCTCGGGGTCCGGAGATACGACCGCCATTGTCTGGGATATCCGACATGGCCGTGTGTTTCTACGTCTGGAAGGACATCATGGGGCGGTGAAGAGAGCCGTGTATGCTCCTCATGGCGCACTCATTGCCACCGCTTCTCAAAAAGTCGCGATGATTTGGAACGCTTCCACTGGAGCATGTCTACATTCCTTCGACATCGAGGGCATGCTATATGAGGTCGCCTTCTCCCTCAACAACCCGCACATCTACGTTGACCAAGGCGGCCCCTGTTTGATCTATGAGACTCAAACTTACACGCGCATCGCTGAACTGCGGCATGGCGAGAAAAGCTGCGAGTCTGCAGAGTCTCACCAAGGGGACCGCATAGTCACCGCATCGCCGAATGGTCAAGTGAAGATCTGGAGTGCGCTGACCGGCCAACAACTTTTTGCAATTGACTACCCGGGAGGACTCTCGTATCCCGTGACATTCTCCCCCGACGGCTCCGAGATATTGGCAGCTTGTGACCCAGACGAGACGGCTGTCACCTTCGATTCATGGACAGGCGAGCTACGTCGCGTCTACCAGCTCGCGGGAAAATTGCATCATGCGTCATACTGTCCAAGTAGAGACTACGTTGCCCTGGGAGATGGCGCGGGCGACCTCCGCGTCTGCGACGCGAAGTCTGGAGCGTTCCTTGCCAGGTTTCAGGCGCTCAATACTGAAATCAACCGCGAGGTCTGGCCTCGATTTCTCTTCGGGGGCCGAAACCTTGTGGCGAATTTCTCCGACGGACTTTCACTTCTCCACGATATGCAGGACGTGTTGCGACTGAGATAGCATAGGATTATTATGGCGACGCTTGTCTTACTTGGCGTATTGATATTAGCTCAGGCGTAGCGATAAAGTGGCCTGCTGTTGTAAGCTCAATGCTATCGAATTATACGACAGTTTCAACCAGATGCATATTGAGAACGCACCAGTCTTTTGCAGCCATGATTCACTTGGAGTCTTCTAGTCCTCCCATATAGCAGAATACAGTGAATCTGATGTTGAAATAATTGGGGAACCGAGGCACGGAAGCGTACAACGATAAGAGCGAGTGTATTTCACGCCTGTGAGGGGTGGTGCAAACACATAGATGATAGTTATGCCCAAAAGCGCGGGAAAACCGCTATAAAAGCCATGCGTGCAGCACGAACGTTGACATAAAGCGTGGAGTTCTAATATCTGATTGAGTCACGACGGCGGAGCGGTAAGGGCGGACGAGAGAGGGATTGACATGTACGTCCAGTCCTGTAGACTACGAAGATCTAAGCTCCCAGACCTGCCCCTGGCAGAATGTAGACCGATTGGTTCGCCGCAGAAAGCGTCGATGTGCTCACTAAACAGATAAACCTAGCTCTGAGTCGGTAGGGCTGGTATACCGCAGCGCGAGAGCCTTAAGGACGACCTCGTCGAAGCTTTGCAACGTCTCAAATGTAAGTTTCGGCAAGAGCTGTTGTTCAAGGCCCTGTATTCTCTGTGTTGTATCTGCAGCACAACGCTACGTATGGCGTGCGAACACTGCGAAGTTTGACACCCAAACGTTGCTATCACGTCTACTTGCTTATCGTCTCCAGACCGCATCTCGCGCGCGCACTTGCTATCTTCGCTCATTGCATGAAGGCCGCTAGTTGCTATCACGTCCACTTGCTTATCAGCATACATTGATGTATTATATTTTAACCCCCCCCTGTAATATCTGAGCTAATACAATGCCAAGTGAAGCAAGCATCGTTATGGTGATTCCATGCTATCTCAATCGCAATACATCCCGGACATCATGCAGAAGCGACAGTCCGTCATATAAATCCACTACAAGATTTTGACCCTGGAATAAAAATTGAGGGCCATCCGTGCGGAAACTTTCATAACTGAGCGCTTCAAACTTCGCAAGGAACGCTCCAGACTTCGCGTCACGGACGTGCAGATTATGCGCATTGTCTCCCAAGACAATGTATTCTCCGCGTGCGGAGTATGACGCATGCTGCAATGTTCCTGAGAGCTGGTGGACGCGACGTAATCGACCAGTCCGTGAGTCAAAGGTGACGGCCGTCTCGTCTGCGTCACAAGCGGCCAATACCTCGGAGCCGTCGGGGGAGAATGCCACAGGATACGAGAGCTTTCGCGGGTGGTCGATTGTGAGAAGCTCCTCGCCAGTCACCGCACTCCAGATCTTCACTCGATCATCCCACGATGCGGTGGCTATGCGGTCCCCTTGGCGAGACACTGACGACTCGCAGCGTTCGTTGTTATGCCGCAATTCCACGATGCGCATGGAAGTTTGGATGTCATAGATCAAACACGGACCACGTTGGTCAATGTAGACACGCGAGTTATTGGGGGAGAAGGCGACCTGGAATATGTGGCCCCTGACCTCGAAGGAATGTAGACATGCTCCAATCGAGGCGTCCCAAATCTTCGTAGATTTATCGTCGTGGGACACGGTGGCAATGAGCGCGCCATGGGGGGCATACACAACTTTCCCCACCGTCCCTCTATGTCCTTCCAGACGTAGAAGTGCGCGACCATGTCGGATATCCCAGACGATCGCGGTCCCATCCTTAGATCCTGAGACAAGAGAACGATTGTTGGGAGAAAACGCAAGGCGGCGCACAGGTTGCGCATGGCCTTGATGATGTAGGCGTTGGACGAGTAGGCCATCGGATAGTCGCCACACGAGGACGTCACCACTTCCGAACGAAGTGGCTAGCAGGTTGCCATCGGTTGACACCGAGAAGCATTGGCAGGATGCGGATGGATCTAGAGAGTCAGCGAAGACGAGCTGTCTCAGTTTCAGTGGTCGAACCTCCGCTTGCGTGGGGCCGATGAAGACGGGCCGGTCTCCCGGGTGACCAGCGCCGTCCAAGGTGATACCTGGCCAGTCAGCCACGTCGGCAGGTGTGATGATGCGACGTGCGAGAGTGCGCTCTCGCTCATGAGATATTACGTCTTCTGTGCAGATCAGCCCAACTATGCAACGATCGTCAGTCTCGGATGACGCTGTTGCTCGACGATAGGATACTCACGAATACCGTCGACGTGCACTGGAGGCTGAACTCGACGAAGGTAGCTGGCGAAATCGACCACGTGATTGCCACCCTGACAGAAATCAGTCTGCGCAGTTTGCGAGGTAATTCAGACGGTACGTACGATGATGCTCTCGACGTCGTCATCGCTCGCAATTACGGTCTCGGCACCGGTAATCTGTGATCGAAGACGCATCAATTAGCGCCGCACATGCCGCGTTGAATGAGCAGACTCACCTCCAGCATGTAGTCCAAGAGGATGTCCAACGGGTCGAGAATATCGCCCTGGCGGCTCGTTAGCTCGCCCACTTCACGGATCTACCATAACGCCATGCGTACCTCGCCCTTGAACTTCAACATGCCTGCGTCAATAAGATCTTCTTCCTCCCGCACCACCACTCCTTCCCCTCCCCGTCCGCTTCGCCCGTCGCCCGCATCCGGAAGCCGGTGGTGGCCCGCGCCCGCAGTGAGCTTCGTGAGAATCCCTAACCGCTTTTGCAACTTGTACCGCTTCACCAAGACGCACTGATCCCTCGTTGACTCCGCAGGACGGCGCCGAGATGCGTCCGCCAAGTAGTGCTGACCTTGCCGCTCCATTGGCGTACCCGTCACAGATCTCGAGTGCGACCTGCCGACTCCCACACCAGCAATGCCGCCGACATTTCCCTCGGCTGACACACTAGAGCTGGTACTGACGTTGCCGAATGCCACCGCGGCCCAGTCTGCTTCCGTCTTTACCCAGCCCCGGACCACGACGAGATTCTCGCGCTTCAGTCGATGGCCGAGGGTCTCCGTAGCGTAAGTATACCATGTGTCGTGGTTCCTGACGATGTACTTCTCTAAGGCCTGATTCTCGAACAGCGTCTCGGTATAGGCGTTGCTGTTGAGCTCGAGAATCGCCCCCTGCGTTGCCTTGCAGGTGTAATTCGCCGTTAGCGCTGCGGATACGTTGGCACCTGCCGTCCTGTAAGCTGTCAGTTCAAGGGCAGCTCCCAAATGCGTCTGTGCACTTACACATTTGCCGAAGCTTGCATCTGCTTGCTCTCCACTCCGTGGCTACAATAGTGGGCGGGAACAAGTGGTCGCTGCCTCCGGTCAACCCTGAGCAAGTTGCGAGACAAGGGTTCGGTGATCGTAAATGGCGGCTCCCAGAATTTGACCTTCTTCTCCTGTGACAAGTCGGGATCAAAGTTGAACAGTCGTATAAACGCGCCTTCGTGGATGAACCCCACGTCACAGATCTGTGGCTCTCCCGTCTCGTGTGGTTCTGGATACCAGAGCGCGTGGCCGAGATGGAGTGTCTGGAGGCAAGACGAATAGATCTCGTCCGGAGCGGACGATGGACGAAACCAGCGAAACATCAGGGATAAGAGGGGCGATACAGCGCAAGTCGGCGGGGCGGAGATGGGGTGCAGGACGGCTAGGGACAAGCACCGCTTTATATCGATGGCGAGGACAGTTCCAGCGCCATTAGCCTGATGTCTTCGCACGACGAAGATGGACGGACGCCAAGCTTGAATTAGCACGCAGACCGAAAGTCGTCTCCCTGCCGTTGGCTCACTTTCAGCGTCGTCCTGGATAATGAGATGCGCTGTGAATCGAAGACAGTGAGCCTTCTGTTAAATAATTAAGAGAGCGAGTACTTTCGATCAGCAGCGCACACGAGTTCGGAGTCGGGCCTCGGTTGCGCAGGATCTCAGCTGCAGATATTCGTGCAGAACTGTTGAGTTTTCCCGCATACTCAAAGGCTCATGCCTTCAGCGTTATCATGCTAGCGCTACGGCGGCCTTAGCATACCCCGGCTTGGTGAAGAATTCCTCGAGCTCAGATGTGAACTGTGACACTGGCGCGTGCGTCACTAAATACAATCATCCATCCCTTAGCAACAACGATGTACCAACAGCTACCACTGGAGCCTGACAGACACAGCGTCACCGATCTGTTCAAGTGTCGAGAGCGGGACGCAGTCGGTTTGTTCGTCTGACGCGCCCTGCCTGGAGTCTCGAAGACGAGGAAACGCAAGTAGTCGTCTACCGACCAAGGAAAACGCACCATCGTGATATTGGTGAAAGATACAGGACATCCGCGCTTTAGAGGCGCACTTCCTTGCGTCTACGGCGCCGGCGAAGATGAACCCGACCTCCAGGGTTTTGGTGTTGTCAGCAGCGACCTTGGCTACCCCCCCCCGGGCCGTACTCGGTAACACCAGTACGTGCAGAGGCCCAGTCTCGCTCGCGGGATACGACATGCCAATATAATTCTGGTGGGACGCTGTCACGATTTGATATCGAGACTCTCATGATAGACAGGACTCACGTGTCATCAACGTCTACATGAGACCGCACTTGGTGAAGGTCTACGGTAAATAAAACGGCTGGTTATCGCCCCAGGGACAAACGAAAATTCCAAGGTCTTGCTACGCCCCGCGCACAATCACGCGGTCAACGCTCCTACCTCAGCCAACGATCATCTCCACATCTGAGACTTTCCATACAAAAGCTTCGACGTCAACCGAGCGATAGCGCTTCGACGATGGATGTAATCCCAATCTATTGCCCAGCAGCACAAGTATATGGCACGTGAATAGAATGCTTGCTAAAAACGCCATGCATTAGTAGTTCCTCCAGTACGGCGCAAAGTGACACTTACATCATCGCCGCGATCCAGCGAGTCTCGTTCAAGTCTGGTACTTTTGAGTCCCCTCCGGTTCCGTCTCCACCTGAAGCACCTCGTCCGCCGCTCTCGCCCAGATCATGGCCACCCGCTCTAGCTCAATCCACTGCAGAGACCTGGCTGCCGCTGATGCCTGCGTCGCCTCACGAAGACGCATTGGTTCGTGATCGGCCTTGCTCCAAGACCGGAATGCGAATGGTACGACTCGGGCTCTGCGATAACGTCAGCCTCAGCTTGAAGCGACGCTCCTTTGGAGAGCCCGGCCGGACGTGTTCATGGCTGCAATGCTGACGTGGGTGGGTCCTCGGGCTTGAAGTTGTGGCCCAGCGGAACCTTCGCATACAGATGCCAGAGGTCGCATTGAAGTTTCTCTTCAGATTTCGAGCTTGCGCTCACGGGCGCCTCGTGAGTGTGCTGTTTACACACGTGTATAAGGCATACTGTGGCGTAGTGATACACTCACCGAATGGATGGCAAACGTTGGCGCATCTGCGCTCTCGACGGCGTAGACCATACTAGCAATCCGAGTATTCAACAGCTTGTTATTCTGGTCGTCAAGAAGTCACTTGCTCGATCCTTAGCCAAAGTGTTGTTTTGAGACCGCGCAACGCGCCGAGAATCGTGCCAGGGGACACAAACTGCCATGTCGGTCCTCGAGAACACAGACAAGGCCAGTACCATGTCCAACATCCGGCAATCCAAGTGGCATGTCATCTGGAGGGTGCATATTTGCAGTTATTCAGTGGTCGCTGGTGCCATGCTGGCCGAGTCCATGGCTGTGGTAGTGCCTGAGAAGCGGGTGCTGCTCGTTTGTTGCCATAGGTCCAAGCGAGAGTGCGACGAGACAGGGCGCAACTTGGGTAGAGTTATCCAGGGTCTTCGAAGTGTATATACTTGGAAGAGAGTGACGAGGGGCGACATGCCGCGCAACGACCAAGCAGGAAACGACAAGGAAACGCGTAAGAATTAAGTTCCAGGGGTCGTCAGCGCCAACGTCCCGCACGTGACACGGATCAAATTGCTCCCTCGCGCTCCGCGTCCTGATCAGCAGTGATTTCACGCCACGGTACTAAACACAGGAACGTTTGAACGACAATCTCCATGTTGCTTTATTGCCATGTGGTTACCGACACTGCTTGGGTTTGTTGTGATCTAAGGCCGTGATTGGCGAGAAGTGAGTTCGATGGGCCGGGAACTTGAAGGTAGACGATCAAACTGACGTCGTCTTGGACGTCATTGAGAAGGACGTAGAGAGCGCATATATATATCACAGTCTCCATGCGGCTTTTGGCCACTATATACACGTACATCTCGGATTTATATCGTTCCCGTACGAACATGTCAAGTGTACGATTTCTGGGCGATAACAATGACCCGTAAGTCTCGTCTACCACCACATTCGTCTGTATTCGCTTATTTCATTTTGTGGCCAATCGTCAGATACACGCGATGTTAATGCCTCGATCGATGCTCATTTCCACGACATCTGGTCCCTGAATTTAGGGGGACACTAACCTCCAATTGCTAAACACCCTCCTCTGCGCCGCGGTAGATCAGTCTGAGATAATTTCCGATTCGGCAGAACATACTGTATGTCTGTGCGCATCATAATCGTGCGACCACTGATTTCTTCTCCACAGACTCAGTGGAAAGCCTAGTATGTGCATAATGCACGGATTGACGCATCCAACGAAAACAAAAAATCCTGCAATCTGCTGGGCGCAGGCCCAAAGGCTGATAAGTCTTTGTAGCCTACGGGACCAGATGGTCGTCCAGAACATCTCGATCACTCTCTCATCTATCCATCTTGCTCAGTCATCACGGTGTAATCATATTCACTGCATTCTGCCGTATGAGAGACACGGAGGAGCGATTCCAGACGAGTAATGATTGCGGAAGACCAGTGTACCCGCAACTTAAGGGTGCGTCGGATTGCAAATGCTATAGGATCCGATAGCATTAAGCTCGCGCAATAGGTCATTCTCGAGCATATTCGCCGCGCCCTACAGGAAAATACTTATACAGGCTTGCACATCGTTCGGCCAGAATGACCAAGTAAACGGTATACTTTCTCATGTGGTGTCTTCCTGACATACGAGATCCGGTCGCGACCGTGACGTCGATTTCGGTCAATGCACCGATTCACTTCTGGCCGTCGCTGCCCTTCACATTATTGCATCATCTGTAGCGCAACGCTACATATGGTATGCGAAGTCTGATACCCAGCGTTGCTATCACGTCCACTTGCTTATTGTCTCCAGACCACATCTCACGCGCGTCCTTGCTATCTTCACTCATCGCGTGAATATGCTCCCGCACGCCATATTAGCACACATTGATGTGTCATATATCCTGGATTGTCTTTATGTATCTGAGCTAATATAATGCCAAGTGAAGCAAGCATCGCCACAGTGATTCCATGCTATCTCAATCGCAATACATCCCGGATATCATGCAGAAGCGAAAGTTCATCCGAGAAATGCACTACGAAGTTTTGACCCGTGAGTAGAAATCGAGGGCCGCCGGGGAAGAAAACATCGTTATTGAACCCCTCAAACTTCGCAAGGAACGCTCCAGACTTCGGGTCGCAGACGTGGAGATCCCTCACGCCGTCTCCCAAGACAACGTAGTCTCCGCGTGGGGAGTATGACATATGCTGCAATGCTCCTGAGAGCTGATAGACGCGACGTAGCCGACCAGTCCGTGAGTCGAAGGTGACGGCCGTCTCGTCTGTGTCACAAGCGGCCAATACCTCGGAGCCGTCGGGGGAGAATGCCACAGGATACGAGAGCTTTCGCGGGTAGTCGATTGTGAGAAGCTCCTCGCCAGTCACCGCACTCCAGATTTTCACTTGATCATTCGTCGATGCGGTGGCTATGCGGTCCCCTTGGCGAGACACTGACGACTCGCAGTCTCCGTCGTTATGCCGCAAGTCAGCGATGCGCGTGTAAGTTTGGGTGTCATAGATCAAACAGGGGCCGCCTTGGTCAACGTAGACGCGCGAGTTATTGGGGGAGAAGGCAACCTGGTATATGTCGTTCTCGACGTCGAAGGAATGTAGACATGATCCAGCCGAGGCGTCCCAAATCTTCACGGATTTGTCGAAGCTGGACGCGGTGGCAATGAGCGCGCCATGGGGGGCATACACAACTTTCCCCACCGTCCCTCTATGTCCTTCCAGACGTAGAAGTGCGCGACCATGTCGGATATCCCAGACGATCGCGGTCCCATCCTCGGATCCTGAGACAAGAGAGCGACTGTCGGGAGAAAATGCAAGGCGGCGCACAGGTTGCGCATGGCCTTGATGATGTAGGCGTTGGACGAGTAGACCATCGGGTAGTCGCCACACGAGGACGTCACCACTTGCGAACGAAGCGGCTAGCAGGTTGCCATCGGTTGACACCGAGAAGCATTGGCAGGATGCGGATGGATCTAGAGAGTCAGCGAAGACGAGCTGTCTCAGTTTCAGTGGTCGAACCTCCGCTTGCGTGGGGCCGATGAAGACGGGCCGGTCGCCCGGGAGACCAGCGCCGTCCAAGGTGATACCTGGCCAGTCGGCCACGTCTGCAGGTGTGATGATGCGACGTGGGAAAGTGCGCTCTCGCTCATGAGAGATTACGTCCTCTGTGCAGATCAGCCCAACTATGCGACGATCGTCAGTCTTGGATGACGCTGTTGCTCGACGATAGCATACTCACGCGTGCCGTCGACGTGCACTGGAGGCTGCACTCGACGAAGATAGCTCGCGAAATCGACCACGTGATTGCCACCCTGGCTGAAATCAGTCCCCGCAGTCTGCAAGGAGGTAGTTCACACGGTACGTACGATGATGCTCTCGACGTCGTCATCGCTCGCAATCACCGTCTCGGCACCGGTAATCTGTGGTCGAAGACGCATCAATTAGCGCCGCACATGCCGCTTTGATTGAGCGGACTCACCTCAAGCATGTAGTTCAGAAGGATATCCAGCAGGTCGGGAGCTTCGCCCTGGCGGCTCATCAGCTCGCGCGCTTCACGGATATGCCATAACGCCAGACGTACCTTCCCCTTGAACTCCAACATGCTTGCGTCGATAGGGTCTTCTTCCATCTGCGCCACGACTCCTTCCCCTCCCCATCCGCTTCGCCCTTCGCCCGCATCCGGAAGCCGGTGATGGCCCGCGCCCGCAGCGAGCTTCGTAAAAATCCCTAGCCGCTTTTGCAACTTGTACCGCTTCACCAAGACGCACTGATCCCTCGTCGGCTCCGCAAGACGGGGCCGGGCTGCGTCTGCCAAGTAGTGCTGACCTTGCCGCTCCATTGGCGTACCCGTCACAGATCTCGAGTGCGACCTCCCGACCCCCACACCGGCGATGCCGCCGACATTGCCCTCGGCTGACACACTAGAGCTGGTACTGACGTTGCCGAATGCTACCGCGGCCCAGTCTGCTTCCGTCTTTACCCAGCCCCGGACCACGACGAGATTCTCGCGCTTCAGTCGATGGCCGAGGGTCTCCGTAGCGTAAGTATACCATGTGTCGTGGTTCCTGACGATGTACTTCTCTAAGGCCTGATTCTCGAACAGCGTCTCGGTATAGGCGTTGCTGTTGAGCTCGAGAATGGCCCCCTGCGTTGCCTTGCAGGTGTACTTCGCAGTTAGGGCTGCAGAGACGTTGGCACCGGCCGTCCTGCAAGCTGTCAGTCAAAGGAAAGTTCTCAAATGCGTCTGTACTTACACATTTGCCGAAGCTTGCATCTGCTTGCTCTCCACTCCATGGCTACAGTAGTGATTCGGGACGAGCGGTCGATGCCTGCGATCGATTTGAAGAACATGCGGGGGTAAGGCCTCGATGTTCTCGAACAGCACAGGCCAGAATGTGACCTTGTTCTCGGGAACAGAGGTAACCAGGTTGAACAGTCTAATGAACGCGCCCTCGTGGACGTATCCTACATCGCCTATTTGCGGCTCGCCAGACTCGTGTGGCTCTGGATACCAGAGAGCGTGGCCGAGGTGGAGTGTCTGGAGGCAGGAGGAATAGATCTCGTCTGGAGCGGACGATGGACGAAACCAGCGAAACATCAGGGATAAGAAGGGAGATGCAGCGCAAGTCGGCGAGGCGGAGATGGGGGTGCAGGACGGCTAGGGACAAGCACCGTTTGGAATCGATGGCGAGGTCAGTTCCAGCGCCATTAGCCTGATGTCTTCGCACGACGAAGATGGACGGACGCCCAAGCTTGAATTAGCAAGTGGACCGAAAGTCGTCTTCCCGCCGTTGGCTCACTTTCAGCGTCGTCCTGGATAATGAGATGCGCTATGAATCGAAGACAATGAGCCATCTGTTAAATGTGTAAGAGAACAAGTACTTTGGATCAGCAGCGCACACGAATTCAGAGTCGGGCCCTCGATTGCGCAGGATTTCAGCTGCAGATATTTGCGCAGAACTCTCGAGTTCCCCGCATGCTGTGAGCTTCATGCCTTCGGCGTTATCATGCTACGGCAGCCTAGGCCATGCCCTGGCTTGGTGAAGAAATTCCTCGAGCTCAGGTGTGAACTGTGACATCGCCGCGTGCGTCGCCAAACACAATTATTCATCCCCTGGCGACAACGGTGTACCAACGGCTACCACCGGCGCTTGACAGACACAACGGCACCGATCTGTTCAAGCGTCGAGAGCAGGATGCAGTCGTTTCATTCGTCTGACGCGCCCTGCCTGAAGTCCCGACGACGAGAAAACACAAGTAGTCGTCTACCGACCAAGAAAAACGCACCATCGTGATATTGGCGAGGGATATAGAACATCCGCGCTTTAGAGCGGCAATTCCTCGCGTCTACGGCGCCGTCAAAGATAAGCACGGCTTCCAGGCTTTTGGTGTCATCAAGAGCGACATTGGCTACTCCCCCAGGCCGTACTCGGTAACTCTTGCACGTGCAAACGCACAATCTCGCTCGCGGGATACGATACGCAGAGATAATTCTGGTGGGATGCTGTCATCAGCAAAACCGCCAGCTCTTGGCGGCCGTCTTGGGCTTGAGGGGCCGTCTTGGGCTTGACACGGGTGTCTTGAAGCGTCTTGAGCTTAGCAGGCTGTCTTGGGAACTACCTTGGGCTGGAGTATGAGATAGTATGATATGCACTGAGCATTGGAGGTTATATATTGATTGGCCTGAAGTACTCTGTCGTATCCCTGCACACAGTATGTGAGGCAATGTGCTCGGAGTCTCGTCAATGCGTCTGCGAGCCGCGGGGACCCTTAAGCGCCAACTCCCTTCGGGCACTTAGAGTTGTCGGAAGCTCCCGGAGATGTTGACTTGTTGATTTGCCACGACTTCCCTTCTCCCTTCCAACAGTCACGTCCCTCTTCCGCGGTTGCACTCCACCATCGCTAACATAACATGGATCAGAAAGGATAAAGGGTGGTGTCGAGACACTTACAGGGCACAGACGCAAAGGGGAAAGGCCTGGACACAGGACGGGAACGATACAGTGAGCACGTTTGTATCAGGGAAAGGCTATGTACTCGGCAAACCACAACCAATGACAAGATGACCGGAATATAGCGCGTTTTGCCACGCACAGCGCGTTCCGTGCAAGGGTCTACAACCGTCATCAAATACGCCCAGCAGCTCGACTGATCAAGTAGCCGTAGTGGACGT